ATTCACTCAGGGGATTCCTATCCCTCTTTGCAGCCAATCCAACTCAAATCTTGTAAGCAGAGAACCAAAAGTTCCAAGGTCCAGATTGGAGGAAGCAACCTCCAAGTTAATCCAAGACTTAATTGATTTTGAATACTTACCTTCATTCCTCAAGGCAATATATTAAAAAGATACCAGAATTGGTGGACAGCCAATATGAAGGTGCACTTGGCCATCCCTCCTTAAGATTTGTTAGTGGGACTAGATGTGCCTCAGACCAAGTCCAAAGAGACTGAGCTCATTATTCTTTTTACTACTCCTGCTATCCCAGCTCTTACTCCTACTGCCATAGAGACTGCTCCTGCTGCCTCTCCTCCTCCTCCTAGAGTCACCAGGGCTGCTTCGAAGAGAGGCATGCACTTACATCTCTTATTTCTCTTCTCTTTATAATGCCTTGATCATATACTTATAGCTTCTTTTTGATGCAAGAGCTTCATAAGTAGACTCTCCTCAGAAGGCCCAAGCCCTAAACATTTTTAAAGACAAACAGTGACAGCAACAGAGGAAAAGGAAACTTGTGCTTGATCCTGAAGAGAATGAGGTACCTGAAGAAGCACCACTTAAGAGGAGGAAGAAAATAATAGTCTCTCCCTCTGATTTCATTGATGACCTTACTCATTAGGCAACTGCCAAGGCAGTAGAGAGGAAGCAAACCAAGGAATTGGTGTTTTTCCAAAGATCTGAGAAAAAGAGGCAACAACAGATATTAAGGAATGAAGTTGCTGTTGTTGATACACTTCAAAGGAAAGCTGGAAGGAGGCAACAAACTGCCGAACATTATGCTCTTCGCAGTTCTCCAATCATTACCACTACTACTTCTGAGGCTGGTAATTTCTTTTAGTTTCTCTAGTAATTTCCTTTCCTAAGTTTTCAGCAATAAAACTTACTATTGCTTCCTATTTTCTGTCTTGCAACAATAGTTACTCTACCTCCTCCTCATTCGACAATGGCTTCCTCTGTCTTGTTTTAAGTTAAAAGGCCATTAGAGTCAGCCTTGAAAAGGAGGAAGAAGATCAACACTGAAGTGCCCTTAAATGTAGAGCCCATCCAGACAGTACTTCCATTTTCCGGCTCTACACTTTCCATACCTTTTTGAGGCAAGCCATCCCTATTTCTTTATGCTCGGGCTTAACTCCATATCTACCTCATCTAACCTTTACCTCAACCCAATTTACTCTTCCTGCAATCTTGGCTGCTCCTTCATCACCTAAGAAGGCCCTAGTTGTCACCTCATCAGTGATAGTTGGTGCTTCCAGAGAAGATATTGGTAGCTTGCCAATTTCTTGTCCACCACCACCATCCAGCTCCAGTCCTTCTTCCCTTAATCTGTTGGTGGCCAGGACTATAGATACTGCCAGGGACACTTCAATCCCTTCTCTTATCTCTATGCAACCATCTTTCCCAGACCTTTCTGCACCTTTCATATCAGTAGAAGAGATGGACATTTTTGAAGCCCGGTTGGCTAGCCTTTTTGACACACCCTCAACCACTCTAGTAGCAAGTAATAAAGTTGAGCCATTGGTCCTTGCTGACTTCCTCTTGGAAATTTTTTAGAGCTCTTTAACCATCAGCAGAGTTTCTTTGCCCCCATTGGACTTGGGCACCTGTTTGGAATTGCTGACATCATTTTCAAGGATCTCATTCGAAGCCTTACAAAGACTCATACTTAAGAATGGTTTTCTCCAATGCTGCAAAGTTATTGAGCAATCCAATATGGCCATTTCAAGCCACTTGTTCCAGGCAGCAGCTACCATAGATTTTGTGATAACCCTGTCCCGTATTATGTTAATTAATCTTGATTATGATTGTGATTATGTGCTTAATATGATTTTGAGTGCTATTTATATTATTATATGTGTTTTTGAATTTCTATCTGTTCACCGCAGAAAAATTTGTGTAACTTTCTACTATAGAATTTAAATTGGAGATCGTAGAGGTTTCAGAAACTGAAATTGACTGTATTTTTGTAATTGGCATAATTTTTAGAGCCTATGGTGAAATTTAATTAGAAATTGATTCAGATAAAAATAATTAGATTCAGAATGATTAAATTAGAGCATCATTACTTAGCATTAATCAATTTGATTAGCCAAGCCTATAAATAGGCCTATATACACTCAAATTCCTTCTTTTGAACTCATCTTGGCTGAAATCACATTCTAGAGAGAGAGAGGACTGGTTTAGAGAGAGAGAGAGAGAGAGGGAAACCATCCTTGTAGATTTTTGCAAGAGAATTCAAAATTTGAAAGGCTACACCCAAGAACTAGCTAGAAATTGGAAGATTGGAGCCTCTAGGTGAGTAGTTAGACATGAATTTATGAATTTGAGTTGTAATTATATGAACTCAAAGATAAATTATAATCAAGAATATGAATTGAGTTGAATTTGATTTGATGAATTTGAAGTTGGTATGTACATGCATGTAAAGAATTGTCATGAGTTTGCATAATTGAGTACAAACATGCATTTTATGATGAAATGAAGGCTATTTGGCACATGCAAGCATGATAATGTTATGTTTCATGAAGATGATCATCAATTGTATTATTTAAGTTGAAAATGAAGCCTATATTTCACATGCATGTAAAATTCAAAATGATATGGAAATTAATTTGCATGAGCTTTGGAAATATGAAGTTTGGTAACTTGTGTTTATGAGGTTGTCAAGAAAAATGAGAAATAATTTGGGATTTGAATTATGATTTTGGACAAATTAGACTCAATTTGCTTATGTCCTCATGTTGTATAAAGATTTCCATGATTTTATATCAAGAACATGGGCTTTGGACATTTGAAAATGTGTTTTGAAGCTTAGACAGAATTCTAGAAAACCCATAATTCGACCTGTTCGCTCGGGCGAGGAAAGTCTCGCTCGAGCGTGAAAACTTAGCTCCCAGAAGTTTTGCAGAGATTGCATGGTGGCTCGAGCAGCGGAATTTACGCTCGAGCGTACCTTGCTTTGCACGACTCATCGCTCGAGCGTCAATAGTCTTGCTCGAGCATAAATTGCAAGTAACCAGAACTTTTGTGGGCCAAAGGGGTCCGCTCGAGCGACCAAAGCTGCGCTCGAGCAGAGAGCCCTGTTTCAGCACTTTTGAAAAGTTGTTCTACGGATCGTTTTCCATTCTTTTTCATTTCTGAGCACTCTTAAGCATGCATTGAACATTATAAATGAGTTAAAAGGATAAGAAAGAGGCCTGAGAGGAGTAGATAAAATTTAGAACGGATTGGATTGTTTGTGACCCAATATGTTATGTTTATGATATAAGTAGGGTCAAGCGCAAGGGCAAATCATCTGCCAGATCACTGTGAGTAATATCTTATTAAAGATATGTTCAAGTATGTTATTTTCCAAACGTTACTTTTGTATGAGCCTTATGGATTTGTATTTTGAATTGTGGATAAATCAGTCTTTTGCATAAGACTAATTGAATATGAATATGATTATGATCACAGATGTGCGACACACATAAATACGAATATGAAAATGAATTGGGCTTAAGGCTATTTGACATGAATGATTGGGCCTAAGGCCGTTTGACATGAATGATTGGGCCAAGGGCCGTTTGACATGAATGAATGGGCCAAAGGCGGTTTGACATAAACAAATTGGGCCCGAGGCCATTTGATAAGAACAAATTGGGCCTGAGACCGTTTGATACGTTTGGGCTTGAGGCCGTTTGATGTATTAGATAGAATCATGAATGGGCCTAAGGTCATTTGATATGATTGCTACAAATTTCATTCATGTACTCCTTTATTTTGATATTATTCACTGGGCTATCACTCACTCTCATTTATGTGTGTGTAGGTGAGCAAAGAGATGTCCAAACCTAGCCCCGGTGAAAGACATGAGAGGAGTCAAGTTTTTGTGGAGTCAGCCTGAACGTTTCACGCATGAGACTTTGTTTTATTTCTTTTATTTTTGATTCCCTTTTGTTACCTTGGTGAATATGTTGAATCACCATGTATATAAGCTTTTTGTTTAGCTGATTGCATGTTGAAAATTCCTGGACACATAATATGTTAATTTTGACTTCATGTGTGAGTTATTATAAACTGTTTTTGGAATTTTTTTTTTACTATGCAAGCACAGCTCATTGAACAAAATTTTTTAAGTCTACTTCTGTTTGGCCCCTAATATATGTCTGATTTTGTTTGAGGCCGTAGGTAATCTCATGATTGCTGGCCGGTTATGACCTTAATTCATAGGAGCGAGTTCGGGTTATGACAGAGTGGTATCAGAGCATGAGTTAATAACTTACACATTTGTCCAAATGAGCAGTAAACATCTAGAAAAGATCTAGGATGCATTCATGTGATAAGTATGAACTCGAAGACATCGAACATATGATTAAATGCTTCGAAATGAATAACTATGTGCTATGTGTTTTGTGATACACTTGCATTATGAATTATTGGAATACGTATACTCTTTTGTATATGCATACCTATGAACATTTTTGTATAAGGAATAATGCAAGTCTAATAAGATAATGGTGAGAACAAGAGGTGATGAAATAGATGAGTCATCTACTGCCAGGATGGATAGGATGGAAAGGTTGATACGGGATATGGTAGAAACATTGAGGCAACAACAACAGTGGCAACAACCACACCCTCCACCTCCATCTCCACCTCCGGCACCACCTGTACCAGATTTTCAAAATGATGACCGGACCAAAGAGTTCAAGAAAATGAAACCACCACAGTTTCATAGGGGATTGGATCCATTGAAGGTAGAAGCATGGGTCCTTGGCATAGGAAAGTTGTTTGAAGTGTTTCCTTATTTAGAAACATGGAAAGTGATGCTAGTCACCTTCACATTAGTAGACGAAGCAAGGAGGTGGTGAATATTGATTCGTGAGGATAATAAAAATATAGGCTGGGCACGATTTTTGGAACTTTTCTACGACAAATACTTTTCGCAATGTGTTCGTGATAGGAAAGTATCGAAGTTCATGGAACTGAAGCAAAATAGCATGATAGTAGCCAAGCACGAGGCTAAGTTTACTGAATTGGCCAGATTTGCACCACACATGGTCGATACCGACTATAAGAAAGTAAGACATTTTGAGCGAGGCCTTCGGGAAGATATTTTAGAGAAAGTGAATGTACTTAAGCTGGAGACCTATAGCGAAGTGTTAGGCCTGGCCATAATATCAGAAGCTAATATAGCCAGACAGGCCAAATCATCAACCGATTGGAAAAATAGTAAGAAACAGGGCTTCTTTTCAAAGAAGCAGAATACAGGCTCTTCAAATACCTCGAATTCTTCCAGAGACATATCTCCAATGTGCAACCAGTGTGGAAAAAGGCATCGTGGGGTTTGTTACCGTATATCAGGGGCCTGTTTTAAGTGTGGTAAGACAAGGCACATGGCCAGAGATTGCAATCAAAGCAGTAGGAAGTTAATTGCTAGCTCAACTGCATCAATTCTGAAATCGGGAAACACTACAAGGCCTACTACTACCGAAGATACCGTGAGGCAAGGGAGAGTCTTTGCACTTGTTCTGGGCAATACACAGAACACAGAAGTCGTTGTCTCGGGTACTATCTCTATGTGCAACCAGGATGCTTTTGTATTAATCGACTCTAGATCAACACACTCTTTCATAACTTATGCATTTGCATCTAGATTGAGTAAACCTTTAGAATCATTGCCATATTTGTTATGTATACCTGCTCCATCCGGGGGATCTGTGTTGTGTACATTTGTATGTTGATTTTGCGATATGCGTATTAGGAATGCTACCTTATATGTAGATTTATTACCCTTGGACTTCAGACATTTTGATGTAATTCTAGGCATGGACTGGCTAACTAAATACTGTACCACCATTGATTATGTAACGAAACGGGTTGTATTTAAACCACCGAGGTAGGAAGAAATTGTGTTTGTGGATATGAGGTAGTGCCTCCACCTTATTTGATATCTGTAATGAAAGCATGTAAATTGATCAGGAAAGGGTGCCAGGGTTATTTGTGTTGTGTGTTATCTGGACAATCTGTAAATGTTGAATTGAATAGTATTCCTATTGTTAGAGAATTTCCAGATCTGTTCCCAGATGAATTGCAAGGAGAATTGGTTGACAGGGAAATAGAGTTTACCATTGAAATTGTGCCAGGCACTCAGACTATTTCTAAAACTCCTTACAGAATGGCTACTGCTGAAATGAAAGAATTAAAGGAACTGTTGCAAGACTTACTGGACAAAGGGTTTATTCGACCAAGTACTTCACCATGGGGTCCACCAGTATTATTTGTGAAAAAGAAGGATGTAACCTTATGCCTGTGTTTGACTACCGTGAATTAAAAAGGTAACGATAAAGAATAAATAGCCCTTACCCTGTATTGATGACTTGTTTGCCCCGTTACAGGGATCACAAGTGCTTTCCAAAATTGATTTGAGATTTGGGTACCACCAATTAAAGGTAAAGGCAAAGAATGTTGAGAAAACCGCATTCAGAATGAGGTATGGTCATTATGAATTCCTTGTTATGCCATTTGGAATGAATAATGCCCCTGCAGTATTTATGGATCTTATGAACCGAATTTTTAAACCTTACCTCGATGAATTTGTTGTAGTATTTATTGATGATATTATGATATATTCGAAGAATAGATCTGAACATGAACAACATTTGAGAATCGTTTTGCAAACACTTAGAGAAAAGAAATTATTTGCCAGACTAAAGAAATGTGAATTTTGGTTGGATGAAGTTATTTTCTTAGGATATGTCATCAACAGAAATGGGATTTCAGTTGACCCCCAGAAAATAGAGGCAATTGTGAATTGGCCTATACCGCCGAATGTAACAAAGGTTCGCAGTTTCATGGGCTTAGCTGGGCACTACAGGAGATTTGTGAAAGACTTTTCAAAAATTCCTGTACCACTTACCCAACTCACACGTAAACAACAACCATTTGAGTAGACTGATGAAAAAGAGGCTGCCTTTCAAGAGTTGAAGACGAGACTAACCACTGCACTAGTTTTGACATTGCCCTTAGGTACAGAAAACTTTGTGATTTTCAGTGATGCATCTTATAAGGGTCTGGGTTGTGTGTTAATGCATGATGGATGAGTAATTGCTTATGTCTCACAACAATTGAGATCACATGAGAAGAACTATCCGACACATGACCTGGAGTTAGCTGCAATTGTATTTGCTCTAAAAATTTGGCAGCATTACCTGTATGGGGTGAAATGTGAGGTTTACACAGATCACAAAAGCCTAAAATATTTCTTTACTCGAAAGGAGCTGAATATGTGACAAAGGAGATGGCTTGAACTAATTAAAGATTATGATCTTCAGATTCAATATCACCGCGAGAAAGCCAATACAGTTGCTGATGCCTTAAGCAGAAAATCGACAGGGAATTTAGCTTGCATTGAACAAAAGGAAATTTTGCTAGATTTTGAGAGTACCAAGATTAAAGTTGTGTTGCATGAACAAAACATATTGGTGGTCCCCATTTAGCTGAACCAGCAATAATTAATGAAATTAAGCAAAGGCAAAAAGAGGATGAGTTCCTCAAGAAAATAATTGATAAATTTGAGGCAAATTTGAAACCAAGATTCAACATTGAAGGTGAAGTATTGAAATTTCAAAACCGAATGTGTGTCCCAAACATTTCGGAACTAAGGAAGAGAATTCTAGATGAAGCTCATAAGTTAATATTTGCTATGTATCCGAGTAACAACAAAATGTATCGAGACTTGAAACAAAGTTATTGGTGGCCCAAAATGAAGAAAGAAATTGCAGAGTATGTGTCCAAGTGCCTTCAATGTCAGTAAGTTAAAGTTGAACACCAGAAACCAAGTGGTCTACTTCAACCTCTCCTTATTCCAGAATAAAAGTGGGAACATGTGACCATGGATTTTGTTGTTGGCCTACCTCGAACTCCTAGAGGTGTGGATTCTATTTGGGTTATAGTTGATAGATTGACTAAATCTGCACATTTTCTGCCAGTGAGAACTACTTTTGATGCATATAGATTAGCTACTATATATGTTGATGAAATTGTTTGTTTGCATGGAGTTCCAGTGTCTATTGTGTTGGACAGAGATCCAAAATTTGTGTCTAGACTCTGGAAAAGCCTACAAAGAGCAACGGGAACAGAACTTTGATTTAGTACCGCATTCCGTCCACAAATAGATGGACAATCAGAACAGACCATACAGCCTCTTGAGGATATGCTCCGAATGTGTGCCTTAGATTTTCAAGAAAGTTGGGAAAATTACTTTTCGTTGGTTGAATTTGCATAAAATAATGGCTTCCACTCTAGTATTGGCATGGCATCGTATGAAGCCTTGTATGGTAGAAAGTATAGATCATTGATTTGTTGGACTGAACTTAGGGATAGGGTCTTACTTGGACTTGAACTAGTGCAAACAACTACTGACAAAATCAAAGTTATCCAACAAAGGCTCAAGATAGCACATAGTCGGCAAAAGAGTTATGCAAATGTTACAACACCTATTGAGTATGAGGTTGGCGACCATGTGTTCATTCGTGTAGTTCCGATGAAAGGCCAATCAAGATTCAGTAAGAAGGGTAAGTTATCACACTGTTACATTGGGTCGTTTCAAGTTTTGGAAAGACTTGGGCCAGTTGCTTATAGAGTTGGTTTACCTCCAGGAATGGGGCAAATGCACAATGTGTTCCATGTATCAATGTTGTGGGGTTATCTCCGAAACCTGTTCCATGTCATTAATTACCACCAAACAGCACTTGATGAGAATATGGAATATGAGGAATGGCTAGAACAGATCATTGACCGACAAGTGAAACAACTGAGAAACAAATCTATTCCAATGGAAAAAGTGGAATGGAAAGAGCATTATGAAAGGGAAGCTACTTGGGTAAAATATGAGATGCGACAACGCTATCCACATCTATTTCTGAACGGAAGTAACATAAGTTTGGAGGACCAACCTTCCTAAGGGGAGGGGGGAAGAATGTGACAATCCTATTATGTGTGATACTGTTAACCTTTAATTATGCTTGTGATTATGTGCTTAATATGATTTTGGGTGCTACTTATGTGATTATATGTGTTTTTGACTTTATATCTGTCCACCGTAGAGAAATATGTTCTATTTCCTGTTATAATTTGAAATTGAAGCCTATAAAGGCGGCAGAAACCAAAATTGACTGTACCATTATGATTAGCATAATTTTTTGAGTCTACGGTGAAATTTGATTAAAATTTGATTCAGATTAGATTAATTAGATTAATTCAATTAAAATAAGCCTTAGGTTAATTGAACTAAGCCTTGATTAATTATCTTAAGCTTGGATTGGTGAATTAAGTTAATGAAGCCTATATATATGCTAATTAAGGGGCTTAACTCATATTTTTGAGCTCAAAATCTGCCAAGAGAGAGAGCCTTAGAGAGAGAGAAAATTTGATTTTAGAGAGAGAAAACGCTTGGAATTGCTTCGCAGATTAAAGGATAGTGAAGATTAACTCAAGAATTTCTTAACACAAGTGTTGATCAAGACTCTAGGTAAGCTTTTGAACCTTAATTTATGAGCTTAAGTCAATAATTATGTGTATTCAAGAAGATAATGAACCAAAACGCAAGAATTGAGCATGAAATGAGGAAATTGGTACTAAATCATACATGCATGCATGAATTTGTTATGATCTCTCATGTTTCTTGCATGAACTTTGTAATCCATGTTGAATTGGGAGTTGTAACTTATATGCATTCATGAATCATAAAGTTATGAAGATTAATTCCATGTTTTGAAAGTCTTGGAAGGGAATTGAAGTTGAATTGATGCATATATAGAAGTTTTGATCTCAATTTTGGCAAATCATAACACTTTTGAGCTCATGGTTTCAAGTTGAGCTCATACATATGTATTTCCATGTAATTTCAAGAGTTTGGTTCAAACATGCAAGCTTATACACTTTGGAGTTGAGTTTTGAGAAAAGAGTTTGAAAATCTTGCATACATGAGAGTTTTAAGCTCAATTTTGCCAAATTGATGAGATTTTAAAGCAAATGGTTTTTATGGGGTCATGTATATATGTTTTCTAAAGTAAGTTTGTGTTTTTGAATGATCCATGCATGACCGAAGGCTTTGAATTTGTGTTTGGAGCTCAAACTTTCTGGTTTAGAAACCATAATTTCACAGATGGCTCGAGCAACCAAGTGGTGGCTCAAGCCAACATTGTGAGCTCCAAGTTTTTTTCACTCTACAAAAGTTGGCTCGAGCGAACGATGGCTCTAGCGACCAAAAGATGGCTCTAGCGACCAAAAGATGGCTCTAGCGACCAAAAGATGGCTCTAGCGACCAAAAGATGGCTCTAGCGACCAAAAGATGGCTCTAGCGACCAAAAGATGGCTCTAGCGACCAAAAGATGGCTCTAGCGACCAAAAGATGGCTCTAGCGACCAAAAGATGGCTCTAGCGACCAAAAGATGGCTCTAGCCATCAACTCCTTTTTAGTATGTCTTCAAAAGGCATTTTGAGTTCATATCTTTGCTCCCATCTCTTTCCGGACATTCTTAAGTGTGAATTATGACTTATTAGGGATTAGTAAGCTAAGAAACAACATATGTGAATGATTAGGAAAGAGAGGTAATATTTATTCAGTTTGAACGTTGAGTTTCATCCTTTGAGCATGAAGCTTGTAATCCATGTTTTTGAAAGAATTTCTAAGTATGCTTTGAAGCTGTGGATAAGCCATGCAAGTTTATGATTTGAAACTATGTGTTTTGTAAGAACCTGAATTTTTAGACAACTAATTAGTTTATTAAATAATTATATTAAGTCAATCAATAGTGATTATTAAACTATTAAATTATAATGTTAATAGCACCATAATTAATATCAATATTAAATTCTTTTAATAAGATTATTTATCTTGCTGTGATTAAATTTCTGTATCAAAATACAGTTGTAAAACTAAATGGATTAAATTAATAGTAAATAAGCTAGTTAGAATTTAGTAGGAAGAAAACCATCCAGTTGAAAATAATAATATTAAATAAGTAAATAAATAAAAAGTTATATATACATATTAATATTGTATTGACATCAATTTCAATTCAATTCAATTCAAAAAAAAAAAAAAAGGGGGATAAACTAGGTAGAGTGTCCAACACGTGTCCATCATGTATCCGATGTGTGTCCATGTCTGACACCCATACATTGCCTCCGGAGAGGTGTCCATGCTTCATAGCCTGTCTCCCATTGCCTTAGTGATTGTCCTCAGTCAAGAAGTTGTGTTGATGAGTTATTGAATGAAAGGATGGCAATATGCTTTTGGATAAAGCATATCTGCGAGAGCACCTTTTCCTGGTTAACCACAGTTAATGGCTTTTCTGGAAATGTCTTGGACCCATCCATGGTATTTTGTCCAACTGTTTTACTTATTTCCCTTGATTACCATTGCATTGCTGGAAATGTTTGGTTCCCATTAGTGGATGGTAGTAGTGCAACTTGTGTGGAGGATCCTACCTGGCATGATCAATGAGTTTGTTCCGGCCAGAGTCTTGAGTACTATTTGATCCCAAGTTTGAGAAATCTCAACTCAGTTCATTGGCAGGTTGGGGTTTAGCCTTTGACAACTAGATTACATGGATTCAAGTAAGAGTGTCGGGTGCCGGTGTGTATCTGAAGATCAGACTCATTAAACCTTAAATTTACGGGTACCTGGACTTGGCAAAAACAAGTTATATTTTTAATCTATTATACAAGATAAAATATTGTTATATGTTACATATAATGTCAAAAAGATATTTATTGTAAGTATACAACAATATGTATATAAAATAACTATGTTAAATACAAATATACGTGTCCAATGAAAAGTATCTACACATATACTGTCCAAGTGTCGAGTGTCCGACACGGATATTTGATTTATTTTGAATAGTCCGTGTAACATCGCCATTCACATTTACCAGGCTATTGTAGTATATTTTACTAGTTTATGGAAAAAAAAATCTAATTCATGATCAAGAATTTAAATCCAAGGTAACCTTTACAAGTTATTATCATACGTTAAAAATTGAAGTGTATATTTGTACCTCTAAAGAAGAGTTAAATGTCTGAAAATTCTGAACAACTTCCACAGTTAAAAGGTCGGGTGCCAAATATTTGTTCCTAGTCGGATGCTGAGAATAGTCTATGGTACTTTTGTACTATTCAGGATTACTTTCCTGGTAGGATGTTTATTATACTTGTGAATTCTTGGTTTTTCATGTCTAGGATGTCCGCTGGGAACTAGATAAAATTCTTGAGGCATGTCAGCTATGTTACACGGACTCGGGTACGGGTATCGGGTGCGGGTGCGGGTGCGTATCTAGGGGTTGGACACTTCAAAATTAAAAATTAAGGATACGTGGATATGTATCCAAATTTGGATACGGGTATGGGGATACGTTAAATAGTTTTTTAAAAAAATATATATTTATTATAATGCGGAGACAAGACACGACAATTTCTAAAAAATGGAGATACGGACACGACAAGGGACACGGCAAATTTTTAAATTTTTTTATAAATATTTTTATTTTAATATACTGACACTTTTCGATCCCTGAAACATTGGGAAAAATATTTATCATAAAAGACCGCATTAAACTGTGCCCACGTCATATTCCCATTGCCACTTCGAATTAGTAACCACTACCTTCGGGCTTCATCCTTCAGAGTATAGGTGGCTAGGAGGACTTTCTGGATTTCAGAACAAGGAAACACTTCATATAGCTTCTCCATTTCAAGTAACCACGTCTCTGCTTTTGACGGTTCAATTCCACCATAGAATGTCGGCGGTTTCATTTTCATGAATTTCTGTGTCAAGTTGATGATGTCATTATTATCTGCTTCGGCTTGTGCCGGCGGAGGTGGAGGGGGTAAAGGTTGTTGTCTTTGTTGTTGTGTCAAAGTTTCAGTCAATGCTGCAAGCATTTGTGACATTCGGCCCATGCGAGCCTCTGAAGATTCACTTATATCACTTCCCCTTGCATTCTCCATGTTGCTATAGAGACATCAAATGATAGTGAACACAGGAACAATCTTATTCATTTCTTTCAATTCATTTGCTCAAATTTACATATATTAAGTTTCCATATTCATTTGGATTACCACACACTCACACATGCAGATGGAATGCCCCTAACTCTTACTAGGACATCCTAAGCTCATATGGACCTATGTATGTGGTAGAACACGTGCTCTGATACCACTCTGTCACGACCCCAACCCGTCCCTGTAGGTTTAGCATCGTAACCGACCAGTAATCCGTGGATTACCAAAGGCCTCTTAACAGATAAGCACATAGTAAGGGGCTGCGGAAGCAATTATACAAAATAGACAAGGTTCAATGAGCTGTGATAACATACCTGGGACGGAACATTTCAACACTTATATATATACATAAGCATGCCAGTCAAAGGACACCAATATTTACAATTATCTACAGAAGTGTACTTTCCAAGACCTGACTTTACAAACAGTCACAGAGACTAGCATAAGTACAAAAACAACCATGCAACTATACTGTGATCGGAACCTCCTCGGGAGGCACAACGGATGGCTGACAAAAACAGAACTGAAGGCCGTCAACTCTGGCCCTGGTCATGTGCCGGCTCACTTACATACATAATATAAACTGTGAGCAAAGGCCCAGTGAATAATAACAGAGTAAAGGGGTTATATGAATGATGTCCAGCACAAGTTAGAATCCAGCATTTAAATCAGAGCATAATCAGACTTCAAAACAGAAATAGATTCGTATACATACTCATAATCATTTTCATATTCAGGATTTGCATAAGATCATACGTGGTACACCCATTAGCTATCAGATCAAATTGGTCCAAAGACCCACATACATAGTTAGTACCAACGACTACAAAGGTCCATATCTTGCGCTCAAGTAGCCATGGTATTGTTACCCCCAGGCAAGGGCCACGTGCAGAT